CTCTCTAAGAGCTCACTCTTGGTGACAAGTAACCAGGGTTGACACCTATACTGTGCCTTAGCCTCTCTAAGAGCTCACTCTTGGTGAGAAGTAACCAAGGTTGACTCCTATACTGTGTCTTAGACTCTCTAAGAGCTCACTCTTGGAGACAAGTAACCAAGGTTGACACCTAAACTGTGTCTTAGCCTCTCTAAGAGCTCACTCTTGGAGACAAGTAACCAAGGTTGACATCTATACTGTGTCTTAGCCTAACAGCTTGGGCACTATACCTCCACTATGAAAGAACAATGTCCCCACAAAAGGCAATAATACATACATTATTAGTTCATTTCAAATTAATTTGTATAATGATCCTCATTGGATTGCCTCATACTATATATACTTTACCCTGGGATACTATACTTGACTCTGAGGAGTGATTTTTCTACCTGTTTTCCACAGGGGCCTGTACCTGTTGATTTGAGAGAAAATATCACCCACAAAAAGCATAATTTTGGAAAAATAACGTGATTTTTATATTGCTTTGGGGAAAACAGCAGAATATTCCTGGGAAAGGGGCCTTTATAAGGCCCTAAAACTGACCTTTGTAAAAGCACTGGTGAGATACTTACCTTAACAAAAGAATCTCTCATACTTGACTCCCAAATACAATACTAGAATCCAAAAATTGTCTTTGTGACATTCTTTATTATATTATAGGGCTAAAATACTTTGAGTGACTTGTCTGGTCTTCAATGAACATTTTACTATGGTTTCCATGATTTTTTAGGCAATTCTTCATCTGCATTACAATGATCTAAGGGGCCAGGGTTACTACCAGGGACCCTCTAGGACATGGGGTCATCACCACGGGCTATATACTCAGGGGTTATCACCACGGGCTATATACTCAGGGGTCATCACCACGGGCTATATACTCAGGGGTCATCACCAGGGACCCTTTAGGACCGGAATTCATCACCACCTCTAGGACCTGGGGTCATCACCACGGGCTATATACTCCGGGGTCATCACCAGGGACCCTTTAGGACCGGAATTCATCACCACCTCTAGGACCTGGGGTCATCACCAGGAACTAGAGACTCAGGGGTCATCACCAGGGACCCTCTAGGACCTGGGGTCATCACCAGGAACTAGAGACTCAGGGATCATCACTAGGGACCCTCTAGGACCTGGGGTCATCAGCAGGGGCTATAGACTCCGGGGTCATCACCATGGACTCTCTATGACCTGGGGGTCATCACCAGGGGCTATAGACTCAGGGGTTATCACCAGGGTCGCTCCAGATTGTGGCATTAATTATTTTTCTTCTTTTCGACATGTACATATAGTGCTGTGCTTTGTAACTTTGGGGAAATATCATGTGCAAAAAAACATGATTTTTGGAAAATAAAGTGTTATTTGAAATGTTGTTGGGCAAATACAGCAGAAATTAGCTAGTAGAAAGGTAATTATAATGCTCCAAATTCACCATAAAGAAATCACTGCAAAAGGGTCAGCACCACCACCCCCTCTAAGACCAGGACCATCACTCAGTGCTCCATCTCAGCCCTGGGGACATCACAAGGGACTCGCCATGGACTAGAATAGGGATGGTCGATTGTTAGATTTTCTATTTCATCAGTTTGTTCAATCATTATACATCTTCATGAAATAAAAGAATTTCTTTCTGTTTTGTTAGTCAGTCCCCACAAGGGAAATTGTGAAACAAATGAATGTGCACTACTTGAAAAATAATCTTAATTAAGAAAGGGTTTTCTTTTTTATTGTGATATTTCTTTTCTTTTCACAAATAGAGAAAGAAATATCTAAATTCTAATTGAGATTCAGGACAGATTTTCTGTATTTGCTAAATGAATTAATTGATAGCTCTATTACTTCAGAACTTTCAATAAGATGAGACCTTTCACTAGGTTCAAACCTTTGCATGTACTGATTTTTAATTTCATTAAGCATCAACCTGAAGCTTCATGTTTTACAGTGGACCCATGTTTAGACTTCATACTTTTGGAAAAACAACCTGCCTGACCCCTGAAATCCTTGTAAATAGCAGTATATATACTCATATAGCCACTTATAGGTAGTTTGTCTTCAACAGTTCTATAAAAGTGCATTTCCCTCCCTAGATTTCGCAGAATCTAATTAGGATCAGAGGAGTTATCTCCCTTTTAATGGCTTTCTCCATCCAACGAAACCAAAAACATCAATAGTTTTCTCACAGAAATATAACATACCAAGGTCCTCAGGGAAATGAAATTACACAATAGTGAAATACAAATCAAATTATCTCCAAGAAGAAAACTTCTTCCAATGAAAAAGGTTTGTAGCTCTGTTTTAACCAATATCAATATTCTGTTGGTGTAGCCCTTACTAAACAAATTTAAGAATGGAATCTGAATATTATGTTCTCAAGGAAGCTAGAGTAAACTATAACTATTTATAGACTGATACAGACACCACAATTCAATATGTAACCTGCTCTGCTATGTTTTATATAAAGGGTGTAACAGGCACATTAACAGGTGGATAACTATATTTTATATATATAAAGGGTGTAACAGGCACATTAACAGGTGGATTACTATGTTTTATATAAAGGGTGTAACAGTCACAATAACAGGTGGATTACTATGTTTCATATAAAGGGTGTAACAGGCACATTAGCAGGTGGATTACTATGTTTTATATCAAATGTGTAACAGGCACATTAACAGGTGGATTACTATGTTTTATATAAAATGTGTAACAGGCACATTAACAGGTGGATAACTATATTTTATATATATAAAGGGTGTAACAGGCACATTAACAGGTGGATAACTATGTTTTATATCAAATGTGTAACAGGCCCATTAACAGGTGGATTACTATGTTTTATATAAAATGTGTAACAGGCACATTAACAGGTGGATTACTATGTTTTATATAAAGGGTATTACAGGCACATTAACAGGTGGATAACTGTGTTTTATATAAAGGGTGTAACAGGCGCATTAACAGGTGGATTACTATCTTTTATATAAAGGGTATAACAGGCACATAAACAGGTGGATAACTATGTTTTACATCAAATGTGTAACAGGCCCATTAACAGGTGGATTACTATGTTTTATATAAAGGGTATTACAGGCACATTAACAGGTGGATTATTATGTTTTATATAAAGGGTGTAACAGGCACATTTACAGGTGGATTACTGTGTTTTATATAAAGGGTGTAACAGGCACATTAACAGGTGGATTACTATCTTTTATATAAAGGGTATAACAGGCACATCAACAGGTGGATTACTATGTTTTATATAAAGGGCGTAACAGGCACATTAACAGGTGGATTATTGTGTTTTATATAAAGGGAGGCACATTAACAGGTGGACTACTATGTTTTATAAAAAGGGTGTTACAGGCGCATTAACAGGTGGATTACTATGTTTTATATAAAGGGTATAACAGGCACATTAACAGGTGGATTACTATGCTTTTATAATCACCTTATTTTAAAGTGTCAGTCTTACTCTTTTCTCAAATAAAATAAAAAGTTCAAACAATTTTATTTAATTCAAAATACAATTTTAGATAGGAATAGCTAAGCCATAAATACATATGTTTGATTTAGGTGGTCAAATCATTGCTAACAGACATCTTTGAGTTTACAAGGACACAACACTAGGTACAGTTGTGGGACCGCACAACGCACCAAAAATAGCGTGCGCACACTGTGCATACATCGTTCACACACCGTCCGCACATCGACCACACATGGTGCGCACAACTGTGCGATTTAGCAATAGTTCGCCCCGTTGTGCGCTTCTCTCCGCACAACTGTGCGATTTGGTATCATTTGTAGATCAAAATTACGGAATGACAAAAATACGGAAAGCTTAATTGTATGCGATAATGTGCACTGTGTATATATCTGTAATTTCTCATCACAATAATCAAGATTATACAATTTCACAATGCGTGTTACACAGTATTAAGGCGACCGCTAGGCTGTCAATGATGGGATTGGCTCCAAGGTAACAGAACAGGTAAATAACAATTTTATGAGTGTCCGGAGTTTTACCTGACCAGTGCCTGACACACATAGCTGATATGCGATACCGTTTGATCGTAATGCATAGTATTTGTTATTTGCATTCGTTTGCCTATAGCTCCCCTTAACCTGGATTTTCACACCCCTGGCCTTACCCGAGGAGTTACGTAAGTGCCCCAGGCGGGGAGAAAACTACAGTCCAGGTACACGTACAAAGTGGTTATGTTTACCTGTATACGGGATTGTGTTGTAATTTTACATGTGTCAATTAAGTTTGTTAAAAAAACACAGAAAACACAATTACTAAATAGAAGAATGTATAGACAGAAAGATAAGGTTATAGATGTTGCTAGAATATAGAAACATTACGTAAACACCAAGTGTATATGTTTAAACACGAAACCGTATAAATTGTTAAGACATCCCTCAATTTACACCAACTACGATTGTTATCACACAACGTCCGTCCATCGTGCGCACAGATGTGCGCAAGCAATGATCGTTCAGCTTTTTATGATGTTCGCCCATCGAGCACACACCGTTCACACACCGTGCACACATCATGCGCACACCGCACATCGTGTAACGTTGTGCGATCCCACAACTGTATAAGACAATGATTGACGATAATTCCAACCTCCCACTCATCTGTTTCTCACATTTTTTTCAGACTAGACTCACATGCTGATATAAGCCCATCCCTGTGATGACAACGTATTCTCATGTAACAGGATAGGAAAATGCACTGCCAGACCAGGATTTGAACCAAGGACCTCTGAACTCTAGACACATGCTCTAACCAACTGTTTTATTTGGTCACCAGTGATTAACCCTGTCCAGTTCCGCTACATTTCACCCTCCTTTTCTCAAAAGCCTTCACCCCTGAAAACACTATTTACAACCCAGGTTTGGTATACCCTTGCCAAGCAAACACCTATTATTTGTAATAAGGAAGCTGTACTCACCCCTGCGATCTGCCCACTAAGTTGGCGCACCAGTGAAAAGGAATCTGTGGCATGCTTTTCCTCTTTACGGGTTGAGACCCGCAATGTTGTCATCCTGTTTTACATCGGATTTAACCATGCCTGAAAGTGAAAATCCAAACCGCTGAATAAAGTGAGACTCACTATTGGAGAAAGTTTGACTGCACCTGTTAGTATTCGGGGAAGATTGTTTCTTTGATGTGTTGAAAAGGAAAAACATATTTCACTTCACTGTTCAGGAATAAGACAGGGTTCTTTGGTTTCTGGTATATCTGTTCACAACATTTGTTACAGAAATTGTAAACTCAGGTTATTATAATTTTAAAGAGTAAAGTTGTTTTACAGAAAATATACAATATACTATGACAGAACATATGTCATTTTACCTACATGTAGATAGGAAGTTTAAAACAATTACAACTTTTTGTAGTTTTATTTTGCTGACAGATTAACAGACAAGATTCTAAAAGACACAATCAATATATTTTGATGCATGTAAAACATGTAACAAAATATGTTCAATATCAAAGTTCTGTACCTTTGTCACATTTTATTTCAACATATTTCATTCTTAGAAGAATATTCAATAAGCAAAGCAAATTTGACTTCAAATTTACCATTGAAGTTGTTACCTTTTCACCACCATGAAAAGAATGATTTCAAACAGACCAATACATATCATATCATACACAGACCAAGGGAAATAACTCACATTGACAAATCTCTACAAAAACATAAACATGCAGCAAATTCATCCTGTGGGTATCCGACAAAGATGTTAAACATAAATTTTGACAGAATTAACATTTGATGTCCTAGCTTATGCACATTAAGACTTGTGTCAGATTCAAATAGGAAATCCAAGAAACTTTCAATATACACAACTTCTAAAACAATACTGGTACAATGTACATCTTATATCTGTTTCATTCTGTAAGTGAAATTTTTCGAAGGAGCACACTGGACAGGACAGAAGCCCCATGTGATGAGATTATATGAGTGAGGAAGATTGACCAAATAGGCCTGCCAGGGTTGGAACCTTTGCCCGATATATATTGACAAAGGAGAACCGCCAGTAACTGCAAAGATACAAGATGTATATAAACATTGGAAACCAAACTCAATACAGTCTTGTTATTGTGATGATAACCGTAATATACATGTTAGAAAATTACTGAAATAGATACTGCAATACAAATGGCTTGTGTCTGATGATGGGTCGAACAATGACTATTTACTTAATGTTGGTTAGCACTAAGAACAGGGCCGTAGCTAAGGCTGTTGCAACCATACAGATTCTGAATGTGATGCTAGATTATTAAGTGTAGTCTGTTGAATATTTAATTTACAATTTTGTTCTTGTCTATGAATTATACAAGCCTTATGATCTGCAGATTTACACAATATTAATATTTTGAAAAACTTTCTGACTAGTTTTAAAACTACAAGTGAAATACTCCGTCTCACCTGTAAACAAGAGGCCCAGAGGGCCTGTATCGCTCACCTGAATATGTTTATAATAATTGGTATGAAGTAAAGATGTAGCACTCCATAGTATGTGCTGTAAGAACATATGAAATTTCAGAAAGATCCATCGAGTACTTGAGATATACCGAGAACAAACTTCAAACAGAGCCCCACTCCTATGCCACTAGGGGGTCATACCCACCAATTATACAAAATTGAGACCCCTTGGTCCAAGGATGCTCCAGACTAAATATGGATAAAATCCCTTAAACCCGATGGCCGAAGAAGGATTTTAAAGGTTTTCCCTCTATTCCCCCTATGGGCCCCCGCCTCTCTGCCTCCAGGGGGGTTAGACACACCGTTTATACAAAATGGGTTACCCTTCACCCAATGATGCTTTATACCAAATTCGGACAAAATCCTTTTATTCCTACAGAAGAAGAAAGATTTTAAAGAATAATTTGCTATGTTTCCCCTATTGGGCCCTGCCCCTCAGGCCCCTAGGGGGCCAGACCCACGGTTTACACAAAATTGGTTCCCCTCCACCAAGGATGCTTCAGACTAAATATGGAACAAATCCTTTCATTCCTACAGAATAAGAAGGATTTTAAAGAATTTGCTATATTTCCCCTATTTGGCCCCGCCCCTCAGCCCCCATGGGTGCCAGACCCACCGTTTATACAAAATTGGTTCCCTTCCACCCAAGAATGCTTCAGACCAAATATGGATAAAATCCCTTAATCCCTACATTAGAAGAAGGATTTTCAAGGTTTTACCTCTATTTCCCCTATTGGGCCCCGCCCCTCTGCCCCCAGGGGGGTCACACCCACCGTTTATAAAAAATTGAGTCCCCTTGGCCTAAGGATACTCCAGACCAAATTTAGTCCAAATCCACTTTGCCGTTCAGGACTAGTAGCGTTTTAAAGGAAAAGTTGACGGACGGACAGACGGACGACCGACGCTGCGGTATGGCATAAGCTCACCATGGTCCTTCGGACCAGGGGAGCTAAAAACGAAATCAGTACAACGGTTCTACTTCGCCTTTATATCAGTTTTTCAAATGAACCACAATCTTATCAGGATCCATTTTATAAATATGGTTTTATTGATAATATTTAGCACACACACACACATCATAAAAAAATCTTTAGATCTGATGATTTACAACTATAATTTTCATAATATAAACATGTATATGGATTGAATGGTGAGCTATTTATTGTCCTGGCAGCATGTGCTATGAATATGAAGCACACCAGATTGTATTCAAGTCATTGCAATTCATGCAGGCTTGATCGATAGATTGCTTCGATCTCTATATATATTATACTTCATACTTTACAAATGTTTTACACAGTTGTCTATATATATATATAGCTACTGGGTACCTGTGTGTTGTATACACAAGAAATATTACCCATCATTTACTTACAAAATTCCAGTTTGATTTTTTTTCTATTGTTGAAAGTAACCTAGACAAGTCTATCTCTGGAATGCATTGTGTACCTTCACACACAGAGATAAAACATATATCCTACCTGGTATTCTGATACAACTTCAAGGAAACTGAAGTATGTATGGTACAGGTAGGTAATGTATACAGGTAAAACCCACCTGGTGTTTGGTAATAGCTATGTTTGATATGTCCGCGTGTGATTGTCTGATCGGCAAAATAAGAAATAGTAGAATTCAGGAAGGAAAACAGTCAGGAAGTAATGCACACACATACAAGTTAACCTACAAACATCAACACTCCTTAGTCCTACAATACTTCTCTTGTGCTACAATATCATCTACACATATAGTCTCGTGTACTACTACTTCATTTAGTCTTACCGTGGGTATACAGCCACCCACCTCCATTCATTCATCTGTTCACCACACGTTAATAATACTACGTCTACATCATTAGCTTATTCTGACCAGACCTGTACGTACATGAATTGTATTCTATCAAGAGTGATCATTAACTTATTCTGACCTGTACATACATGTATTCTATTAAGAGTGATCATTAATTTATTCTGACCAGACCTGTACGTACATGTATTCTATCAAAAGTGATCATTAACTTATTCTGACCTGAACATTTATTCTACCAAAGGGTGACCATTAACTTATTTTTTACCTATAGATTTATTCTACCAAGAGTGACCATTAACTTATTTTTTACCTATAGATTTATTCTACCAAGAGTGACCATTAACTTATTTTCTGTCACATGTACAACTGCCCGTCTATCAACTCCCACACCATGCAATTAATGGTATCTTTGTGTTGATTAAAACCTTCTGCTACTTTGATTACTTAAAATCCAAAAGAAGTTACAAATTGGTGGTTTGAAAGTTGACAACTTCTGCTCCAGTGTTCCTCTATTTCACATTAATCTGTAAGTATTACTACAAGGCATTAAATTGTACGAGTGGTCAACTTTATGAACACTCAGAACTGATTAAAATTTGAAAATACCAAATTGTTTAAAGTATCATAAAACAGATTTTGTATAAAGAGTTGTACATACACTGTGTGACATTCGCAATTTGATCACCAAAAATACTCTTACAGGTATACATGACTTAATATAACAATAATGTGAATCCCTCAACTATGTCATACAAATTTGAAGTTGAAAGAAGTTCTACAATTAATGAGAGCTAAATGTTAACTAAGTTTATCGAACACTCATTAGTAAATTTTCAAATTATAACAACTGAATTATTAGATTAAAGATAATTAAGCATCCCATAATGGAACCTCTTTGTCCACCTCCAGTGGTGACTAGAAAAGATTAGGAATGGTTTAAGGGTTAACCTTTGTCAACCTCCAGTGATGACTAGAAAAGATTAGGAATGGTTTAAGGGTTTACCATTGTCCACCTCCAGTGGTGACTAGAAAAGATTAGGAATGGTTTAAGGGTTTACCATTGTCCACCTCCAGTGGTGACTAGAAAAGATTAGGAATGGTTTAAGGGTTTACCATTGTCCACCTCCAGTGGTGACTAGAAAAGATTAGGAATGGTTTAAGGGTTTACCATTGTCCACCTCCAGTGGTGACTAGAAAAGATTAGGAATGGTTTAAGGGTTTACCATTGTCCACCTCCAGTGGTGACTAGAAAAGATTAGGAATGGTTTAAGGGTTTACCATTGTCCACCTCCAGTGGTGACTAGAAAAGATTAGGAATGGTTTAAGGGTTTACCATTGTCCACCTCCAGTGGTGACTAGAAAAGATTAGGAATGGTTTAAGGGTTTACCATTGTCCACCTCCAGTGGTGACTAGAAAAGATTAGGAATGGTTTAAGGGTTTACCTTTGTCCAGACAATGTGTTCCATAGGAAAAAGCACATGTCTCTTAACCTCCAACTTCTAATTCCCTGTCATTATTCTGTGACCTTCGACCTCTGAGTAATACCCAACCCCTTGACCTGTTTAGTATTGTTATTCCCATTGACCACTCCCGTTGGTCTTATCTCTACTGTCCTACAAACATTTTTCGTCAATTACGAGTCTGTCCTCCCCCACAAAACAGATTTGCGGGTGAGAGTAGTGACTACCTGTATCTTGTACACCTGATATGAGGTACTTCAACTCCTGTCAGTTGACACATATCCAAATTGTATATTCAATTCAGCCATGCT